ATTTCAAAATTATATTGTTTTGTAATGCTGAAACACTACAAAACAAAGTGATACTAAAGTGTCACTAACTTGTCATTTTGCTTGGATGGAAAATAGAATTATGTGATACCACATCGTCATTAGCATGTGTGATGTAAAAGTGTCGTTGAACGGTTGTGTCACATATGTATCACTAATTGGTGATACTACAATGTCATAATTTAGTGCCACTTTTAATGACACTTTTTTAGTATCACTAGCCCCCACTTTCAGGGACACTTTTTTAGTGTCACAAAAGCCTGTTAGTCACACTAATTTAGTGTCACTGTAAGGCATTTTTCTAGTAGTGGATAAACGAAGAGAAAAATGTCAGAAATAAAAAGAGGGAGTAGTACACACAGTTTTCAGGTGCCATTGATCCTTTGTTACACTCCTTAAAAAAAGATATTTAAATAAAAATAAAAATAATTTTTATCAGTCAGATAAAATGTTATGGGAATGGCATTTTAATTATTAAGTGAGTCAAACAAAAATTCAACAGTTGTCACATTCTAATCAGATAAAAAAAATCGAAGTTTATGACGTTTTAGTCAGATAAAAATACTTCAATTATAGAAGTAACATTTTAATGATAATTATGTAAGTCACATTTTATAAATATTAAACACTTAATAATAGGTGTACAATTATTTATTATACACATAAAAATACATACTAAGTAATAAAAAATTAGAATACAAAACTTACTACTACTATAAAATACGAATATAGATAAAAGCCTACTATACCTACAAAACCATTCATAAGTCAATTATTAAGATGTATGAATACTTAAGATTTAAGAACGAACTAAGAAAAACTTAAGGTTCTAGTCCTCGTTGAATAAAACTCCTTCGGCTGGCAATAAGCTTCCTACGAAGAGTAAACTACTTACAAAGATAAGATCGAAGCTGCGGAAGAAGCTGTTCAAGTTAAACACAAACTCTAACCTAACTACCCTCGACCTACACTATAAATAGCCGCCCTGCCTGCGTTTTCTTTTCACGTCCAAGCTAAGCCGATCAATATATACATATATACGTATATATATATCTGTATGTGCAGAAATTTCTACCCTTCGTTATAACCCAAAACCGAAGCCAAATCTCACATAAAAACATTCTCCTTCGTGAGACGAATCCAACGGAGAAAGAATCGTTGAAAACGGTCGTGAAACGAGAGAGATATCGCTCGCCGGAGTTGCAAGTTGTGGAAGCGGGTCTTTATAAAAAGCAGATATTTTGCCGTAGATAGGGGTGGAGGAGCTTCGTCTCGCCGCAAGGATCATTTTGCAACTTGAATCGTCGAAATCCGTTATCTGTAAGTCAAGTTATAGCTCGCCGGAGTTTTCTAGTTTCCGGCGAAGTCGCCGGAATCGACCTGGAGAAGATGACCCAGTTGTCTGGGTCAGAACTCTTGGGCCGGGTCGGTTTAATGGGCCAGTTCGGCCCAGTTTTAACAAAAATTAAAAATAAAATAGTAAATCAAATAAATAAAATCTGGAAAAATATAAAGTAAATACCTAGTATAAATATACATATTCGGACCAACCAGAATTGAAAAATAATATTTTTAACTATTTTTAATTGATTTAATTGTAATTGGGCCAATTTATACACATTTAGTAATTATTAACTAAATAACGAAAATAATTATGAAATAAATATTGGAGTAAACTAGGATAAATATATGACTAACTAGAACCTTATGGACCATTTATAATTAATAAAAATAAAGATTTAGTATATTTAATTGTAATTGAACCGGTTATTAGATATATGAAATTAAAGGAATAATTATGGAAAATAATTATAAAATAGATATCTGGACAACCTAGGTCAAATATAGACCTCAAATATAGTTATAGACGGTTATTAATTTATAAAGTCGACTCTTAGTCTATTTATTTAAATTAGGCCATATAAAACTAGTTAAGTAATTAAATAAGGAAATATTTATATTAATGGTGAAGTAAATAAATCACTGAGATTGAAAAATAATATTCTGGACTAAAAATAATGTTGGAAAAAAATAAGGAAAATAAAATAAGGTTGGGTTAGCTAGCATAAATAATTGACTATATGTAGACTTAATAAATAACTTAGTTATGTAATTAGTGGACTAATTCAATTAATAATTTTTGTAATTTATTATTAGATATTCGGACTTCATATAAATATTTAAAATATTTGAATTCATAAATTAATGGGTTAATATAAATAAAGCAATTAGATAATAATTTATGAGTAGATTAAATTAGTGGTGGTTATTGAATAAAAAAAAATAGGATGTTGTAGTTAATTATATTCGGATATTGTATTTAATATTAGAATTCAAATATTGTAATTAATGGCTGAATTAATAAGGTAATTTGATTAATAAAAAGTGATTAATTAAATAAATTCGAATAACTAATAAATTAAGTTAATAAATTCGAATAATAAAATAAAAGGAGAAAATCGGGTAAAATAATTACAAAGAGAATAAGTGACTAATTATATCATCTTAATTAAAAAGGTGAATATTTAGAGACCGGAACTGAAGAAGAGAATTAGGAGCATCGGGATTTAAGGTAAGTTTCACGTCAACCGAAATTAGTTCTTTTTCTTCATGATTTCTTTTAAATATTTTCGTGTGCTTATTTGTGAATTGAAGTTATGTGTGCTGAATTTGAATATTATTATATAAAAGGATTGCATTTGAGATATTAGTTTGTTGATATGAGTTATTTTGGAAGATTTTGTAATAGTACGTAATTTGTTATCTTTGTGGGAGTTTAATGAAAAAGGAAATTTTTGAAGTATAAACTTCGATTGATTTTGAGAAAACAAAGATAAATAAATATTTTCATAAAGGGTGAGCATCACGAGAGAAATCCGTGATGTTGGTTTTCCACGTCCCTTAAAATGTGGAGGATGGTTAGGTCTACTACTACTCAATTTTTGGTTTGTGTTGGTTTGAGGTGAATTGTCGGTCGGTAGAAAACATCCCGGCTTTTGAGTAGTAGTGGTAGTAGTAGCTCCTAATCATTCAGGTTTTTGAGGTGGGGTAGTTGGTAGAAAATATTCCGACTACCCGGATCGACTTACTAATCCGGAGGGCTTGGAATACCTTTAGGGGGTGTGCACACTTAAAGTAGTTGTTTCCGTTTCCAAGGAGCAGTTGTGGTACCGGCAATAGTTCCGGGGTGGCCGTACATAACAACGGACCACCGGGCTCAACCAAAGTGTTGAGCACCGCCCTTCTAAATTACTAGGAAGTTAGATACAAAGTGATTTTGGGAGAAATTCAAAAGAGTAGAATTTTGGTGTTTCATGTATTTTGGAATTATTATGGTTTACGAGTTAATTATGTGATGGGGATTTTATATAGATATCGTTAACTTATGATTTATGGTTTATAAAGTGTTTTGAAAAATATGTTATGAGGTTGTACGAATTTATATATATTATTTATTATTATTTTAAAAGGTTAGGTGGAACTTACTTAGCATTATTGCTAATGGTTGTTTTCTATTATTTTTCTTGTGCTCGTATTTAACAGGAGGTGATCATGTTGATTTTGATGCTGCAATGTTTGAGAGCGCGAATTAGAAGACAACTATGTAGTTCACTAGAAATAAACTTTAATATTTATTTATGATTCGAACATCTTGCTTTTGTTAAACTCGTGTTTTGGTAGATAGCCTTAGCATCCAATCATTCACGGATTGGATGTGGCGGTGACATGCCCCTTTTACTTAGTTTTTATTAATTTCCGCTGCAACTTTTGAAGTTTTAATCATTAAATAAAAGTAATCTCTATTTCAAAGTATTATTTTGGTTGGAAAATTTGGGGGTGTCACAAGTTGGTATCAGAGCCCAAAACTTTTTCTGGGGATATTTCAAAACGTTTTTCAAAAAAGATTTCTAAACCATTTTTGAAAATATTTCTATAAAAAAAAACTAGGAAATTAAAATTATTAGGAAAAGACCTGTTAGGAACGCGGTGAGGATATAATGTGAGATTTTCAAGTTATTGATTTATATGATTGAGTAGTGAAATTTATGTAGTTGCTTGCTCGTGTGAAATATATGAATTTTGATGACATCTTTGAATGTCTATATATGTTAGAGCTTAGTATGGACCTAGTGAAGAACTTTGCGGTTCAAATAGTGTAGGGACTTTTTGAATGCCTTAATATTTAAGAGACTTGTGAGAAAAGAAGTTAAGTGGTCAAAATGGTGAAAGTGTTGTGGTCTAACCACTTGGCTGAGAGCGCCACTTGGAGACGGAGGATGATATGCGCAAATGCTACCCTGAGTAATTTTATTAAAGTAATAGTTTTAGTTACGAGCGTGTAACCTCTCTTTAAGGCGAATAGAATGTGATACTTTAGAATTTTGTCATTTAACTTTAATTTATGTTTCGGGACGAAACATCTTTTAAGGAGGGTAGAATGTGACACTCCAAAAATTTAAAAAAAAATAAAAATAGAATGTAATACTTAAGAATTTGGTTATTTTAGTTTATGTTTCGGGACGAAACATCTTTTAAGGAGGGTAGAATGTTACACTCCTTAAAAAAAAGATATTTAAATAAAAATAAAAATAATTTTTATCAGTCAGATAAAATTTTACGGGAATGGCATTTTAATTATTAAGTGAGTCAAACAAAAATTCAACAGTTGTCACATTCTAATCAGATAAAAAAAAATCGAAGTTTATGACGTTTTAGTCAGATAAAAATACTTCAATTATAGAAGTAACATTTTTATGATAATTATGTAAGTCACATTTTATAAATATTAAACACTTAATAATAGGTGTACAATTATTTATTATACACATGCATAAAAATACATACTAAGTAATAAAAAATTAGAATACAAAACTTACTACTACTATAAAATACGAATATAGATAAAAGCCTACTATACCTACAAAACCATTCATAAGTCAATTATTAAGATGCATGAATACTTAAGATTTAAGAACGGATGGATCTGAACTAAGAAAAACTTAAGGTTCCTAGTCCTCGTTGAATAAAACTCCTTCGGCTGGCAATAAGCTTCCTACGAAGAGTAAACTACGTACAAAGATAAGATCGAAGCTGCGGAAGAAGCTGTTCAAGTTAAACACAAACTCTAACCTAACTATTCTCGACCTACACTATAAATAGCCGCCCTGCCTGCGTTTTCTTTTCACGTCCAAGCTAAGCCGATCAATATATACATATATACGTATATATATCTATATGTGCAGAAATTTCTACCCTTCGTTATAACCCAAAACCGAAGCCAAAACTCACATAAAACATTCTCCTTCGTGAGACGAATCCAACGGAGAAAGAATCGTTGAAAACGGTCGTGAAACGAGAGAGATATCGCTCGCCGGAGTTGCAAGTTGTGGAAGCGGGTCTTTATAAAAAGCAGATATTTTGCCGTAGATAGGGGTGGAGGAGCTTCGTCTCGCCGCAAGGATCATTTTGCAACTTGAATCGTCGAAATCCGTTATCTGTAAGTCAAGTTATAGCTCGCCGGAGTTTTCTAGTTTCCGGCGAAGTCACCGGAATCGACCTGGAGAAGATGACCCAGTTGTCTGGGTCAGAACTCTTGGGCCGGGTCGGTTTAATGGGCCAGTTCGGCCCAGTTTTAATAACAATTTAAAATAAAATAGTAAATCAAATATATAAAATCTGGAAAAATATAAATTAAATACCTAGTATAAATATACATATTCGGACCAACCAGAATTGAAAAATAATATTTTTAACTATTTTTAATTGATTTAATTGTAATTGGGCCAATTTATACACATTTAGTAAATAATTAACTAAATAACGAAAATAATTATGAAATAAATATTGGAGTAAACTATGATAAATATATGACTAAATAGAACCTTATGGACCATTTATAATTAATAAAAATAAAGATTTAGTATATTTAATTGTAATTGAACCGGTTATTAGATATATGAAATTAAAGGAATAATTATGGAAAATAATTATAAAATAGATATCTGGACAACCTAGGTCAAATATAGACCCCAAATATAGTTATAGACGGTTATTAATTTATAAAGTCGACTCTTAGTCTATTTATTTAAATTAGGCCATATAAAACTAGTTAAGTAATTAAATAAGGAAATATTTATATTAATGGTGAAATAAATGAATCACTGAGATTGAAAAATAATATTCTGGACTAAAAATAATTTTGGAAAAAAATAAGGAAAATAAAATAAGGTTGGGTTAGCTAGCATAAATAATTGACTATATGTAGACTTAATAAATAACTTAGTTATGTAATTAGTGGACTATTTCAATTAATAATTTTTATAATTTATTATTAGATATTCGGACTTCATATAAATATTTAAAATATTTGAATTCATAAATTAATGGGTTAATATAAATAAAGCAATTAGATAATAATTTATGAGTAGAGTAAATTAGTGGTGGCTATTGAATAAAAAAAAAAATAGGATGTTGTAGTTAATTATATTCGGATATTGTATTTAATATTAGAATTCAAATATTGTAATTAATGGCTGAATTAATAAGGTAATTTGATTAATAAAAAGTGATTAATTAAATAAATTCGAATAACTAATAAATTAAGTTAATAAATTGGAATAATAAAATAAAAGGAGAAAATCGGGTAAAATAATTACAAAGAGAATAAGTGACTAATTATATCATCTTAATTAAAAAGGTGAATATTTAGAGACCGGAACTGAAGAAGAGAATTAGGAGCATCGGGATTTAAGGTAAGTTTCACGTCAACCGAAATTAGTTCTTTTTCTTCGTGATTTCTTTTAAATATTTTTGTGTGCTTATTTGTGAATTGAAGTTATGTGTGCTGAATTTGAATATTATTATATAAAAGGATTGCATTTGAGATATTAGTTTGTTGATATGAGTTATTTTGGAAGATTTTTTAATAGTACGTAATTTGTTATCTTTGTGGGAGTTTAATGAAAAAGGAAATTTTTGAAGTATAAACTTCGATTGATTTTGAGAAAACAAAGAGAAATAAATATTTTCATAAAGGGTGAGCATCACGAGAGAAATCCGTGATGTTGGTTTTCCACGTCCCTTAAAATGTGGAGGATGGTTAGGTCTACTACTACTCAATTTTTGGTTTGTGTTGGTTTGAGGTGAATTGTCGGTCGGTAGAAAACATCCCGGCTTTTAAGTAGTAGTGGTAGTAGTAGCTCCTAATCATTCAGGTTTTTGAGGTGGGGTAGTTGGTAGAAAACATCCCGACTACCCGGATCGACTTACTAACCCGGAGGGCTTGGAATACCTTTAGGGGGTGTGCACACTTATAGTAGTTGTTTCCGTTTCCAAGGAGCAGTTGTGGTACCGGCAATAGTTCCGGGGTGGCCGTACATAACAACGGACCACCGGGCTCAACCAAAGTGTTGAGCACCGCCCTTCTAAATTACTAGGAAGTTAGATACAAAGTGATTTTGGGAGAAATTCAAAAGAGGAGAATTTTGGTGGTTCATGTATTTTGGAATTATTATGGTTTACGAGTTAATTATGTGATTGGGATTTTATATAGATATCGTTAACTTATGATTTATGGTTTATAAAGTGTTTTGAAAAATATGTTATGAGGTTGTACGAATTTATATATATTATTTATTATTATTTTAAAAGGTTAGGTGGAACTTACTTAGCATTATTGCTAATGGTTGTTTTCTTTTATTTTTCTTGTGCTCGTATTTAACAGGAGGTGATCATGTTGATTTTGATGCTGCAATGTTTGAGAGCGCGAATTAGAAGACAACTATGTAGTTCACTAGAAATAAACTTTAATATTTACTTATGATTCGAACATCTTGCTTTTGTTAAACTCGTGTTTTGGTAGATAGCCTTAGCATCCAATCATTCACGGATTGGATGTGGCGGTGACATGCCCCTTTTACTTAGTTTTTATTAATTTCCGCTGCAACTTTTGAAGTTTTAATCATTAAATAAAAGTTCATCTCTATTTCAAAGTATTATTTTGGGTGGAAAATTTGGGGGTGTCACATCCTTACATAGACCACTACATGTCATTGGTACAAGTCCTACCTTGTGTTTGGTCCACCCCTTCAAGAAGATTTATGACTACAAAGAAGAGTAATAATACACGCGAGAATAAAAAACAAAATATCTTTCCTTACAGATACGTGTCATCTAGCAAATTCAATTATTATTTCAAGTGCAGTACTGATATACATTGAAAATGTCATGTTCTAGTTCAATTATTAACTCAAGTGCAATACCAATACAACTGTATTAGGGGTATTGATCTATAGAGAAACATACATAAGCTTAGAGTTTCCTTTGAAATATGTCGTGTGAAGCATACATTTACCTTGAATTGTGACATACTATGTATAGCTCCATGATACAAAATCAAATTTCCCATAACTTCACAAAAGAATCAATGATCAATGATCACACATCTACTCAAGACCTATGCAGACAAATGAGTATACATATAGTTTCTACTTTCTAGAGCTTTGAACACACTGTGTGGAATTCAATAAAGCTTGAGACTCTTAAGAATAAAGAAATTGATTATTTTGATTTTGGGCCTAATGGACTATTTCTTTATTTTAGGCCTGTTAGCCCTTTTGTATAAATAGTTTCCTTCACCTTCTGTAAACATTAAGATTCATAATTCTCCTTCTTTCTCTTCGTTCATGGCTTCCGCACTCTCTTTGTAATTCATATGAGATTTCACATGGTATCAGATTAAGGTCTTGATCGATCCTTACTGATTCGTTCTTCTTTTCTGATAGATTCTTCGTAATCGATTTCATCTTCTTTCAATCGATTTCTATAATCGATTTTCTTTCAATCGATTCCTATAATCGTTTGAAAACGCTAAATGCAATGGCTCTACCGCTAAATCCTACCGAAGACTCTTCATCACCATATTATCTTCATCCGAATGATCACGCTTGCCTTCGAGTCATCTACGAGACACTTACTGGAGAAAACTTTTCCGCTTGGAAGAAATCTGTCTCTATGGCTATGGCGGTGAAGAACAGGATGGGATTTCTTGATGGTTCAATTGAACAGCCTAATCCGGATAACTCAATGTACTCTTGTCGGTATCGTATCAATGCTCTTCTCTTATCTTGGCTGATTTACTCAATTTCGCCTACTCTTCGTACTACTTTTCTCTCTTTGACCAATGCTAAGGAACTTTGGGATGAGGTTCAACTTAGATATGGTAAAAGTGACGGTCCTAGACTTTTTCAACTTGAAAAAACCCTAGGAAACCTTTCTCAAGGCTCTCATAGTATAACTGATTACTACAATTCCTTTAAAGAAATTTGGGATGAATGTTGTACTTTTCGTATTATTCCTTCATGTACCTGTGGCCATTGTACCTGCAAAATATCTAAAACCTACCAAAAGATTATCCTGAAAAAGTCTATACTAAAGTTTCTTGTTGGCCTCAATGAATCTTACTCCAATCTTAGGAGTCAAATTCTTCTAAACACTGACAAAACTACTCTATCAAACATCTACGCTATCCTTTTGTAAGAAGAATCTCAAAGATCTCTTCAGAATTCTATCTCTTTTAATACTTCTTTTTCAGAGCCATCTGCATCTGAAAAACTTAATAATTGTGCTACTGCTTTCTTTGTTAAGAATTTTAAAAAGAAAAATTCTATTACCTGCAATCACTGTGGCTATCAAGGTCACTCATCTGATCAAAAGTGTTTTCAACTCATGGGCTATCCTAATAACTGGAAAGGACCAAAAGGTCAAAGGCTTGCCCCTGGTTTTAAACCAAATCCTAATTCAAACAAAAATCATCATGCTATTCTGGTTGTCAACTCTACTGAACCTGATTTAACTCCTACACATTACACTGAATCCGCTCCAACTTCTACCAACTCCAATTCTGCTACCACTGATTTCTGTGATCCCAACTTGTATGAAAAGTTTCTGCAATTCATTCAAGCTCAACAGCCTAAAACTTCTTCTGTCAATGTTGTCACCATTGCTTCTGATGATGGTCTTAATGCTTCTCACAATGCTTCACAGTTTTTAGGTAAACATTTTGCTTTATCATCTTTTACATCTTCTAAATGGATTCTTGACACTGGAGCATCTGATCATATGATTTATGATGCTGCATTTTATACAACTCCAACTAAACAAATTTCAATTAATATTCAACTTCCTACTGGTAATTATGTTTCTGCCAGTAAAATTGGTGATATAAAATTAAATCCTAATCTTACTTTACATAATGTTTTATATGTTCCTAACTTTACATTTAATCTTATTTCTATTTCTAGTTTAACTTCTCATGATAATATCTCAGATTATTTTTCATCTAACCATGCTATATTGCAGGACCACCTTACCAGCAAAATGATTGGCTTTGCTGATCTAAGGAATGGCCTCTATTACTATAATCCAGACTCATCTTTATATCATATTCCTACTGTATATTCTGCAAGTAGCCAACATACTATTTCTTCTACTACTCTTTGACATTTTAGACTAGGACATTTGCCTTTTAATAATCTTTTCATGCTTCCTGATTGTAATGTTTCCAATAATGAAAAACATTCTTCACCTTGCGATATTTGTCATTTTGCTAAACAAAAGAAACTTCCTTTTCCTATCAGTACTGCTCATGCTTCTAATCCTTTTGATTTAATACATATGGATGTTTGGGGTCCTTACAAAGTTACTTCTTATACTGGTTTTAAATATTTTTTAACTATAGTTGTTGATTACACTAGATGTACTTGGGTTTTTCTACTAAAAAACTAAATCTGAAGTAAAATTTCATATGCTAAATTTCTATACTTTCATTGAAACTCAATTTTACAAGAAAATTAAAATCATAATAACAGATAATGGGAATGAATTTCTCTTTCCTGATTTTTATAATTCAAAAGGAATTCTTCATCAACTATCATGTGTTGAAACACCTCAACAAAATGGTAGGGTTGAAAGAAAACATCATCATATTTTACAAATTGCTAGAGCTCTTTTATTCCAATCCTGTTTACCTCTTACTTTTTGGTCTGATTGTATACTTACTGTTGTACATATAATAAATAGACTACCAACTAATATTCTGAATAATAACTCTCCTTTTGAAATTCTTTATAGTCATGTCCCAGATTATACTCATTTAAAGGTGTTTGGATGTTTAGCCTTTGCTTCAACTATTTCGTCAAATAGGTCTAAATTTGATTCTAGAGCACATAAATGCATTTTTATTGGTTATCCTTTAGGCTCTAAAGGATACAAATTATATGATTTAACCACTCATAAAACCTTTGTTTCTAGAAATGTTAAGTTTTATGAAGTGTCTTTTCCATATAAAACTGTGCATACTGACAATATTTTTGATTCAGATTCTATTGACACATAAAATAATCATATTATTAATGACTACTTAAGAACTATTTATAATCCTGCTCCTCAAATTTCAAATGAAAATAATAATACACATAGTTCTTCCACTCTAACAAATTATTTGGACAATCAAATAAATGAAGAATTAAATTTGTTTCAGTCTGATAATATTAATTCTAATGCTAATGATTCTTCTAGTCTTATAGAGGTTTATTATGTTCATACACATGTTTGGGATCAAGGAGAGGTCTTAACGTCGCAATTCGGTGCGAAACAATTGACGTTGGGCAGTCTGGGTGCCACGCACGACGTGCCTAGGAGGCACGCACGGTGTGCGTGGCTTAAAATACTTTCGGGTAGCTATTTGGGACCCACACACGGTGGACGCACGGTGGACGCACGGCGTGCGTGCAACTACGCACGGCGTGCGTCCAGGCTGCGCAGGACATGCCTGGGGCCTTTTTCCCTGGTAGCTACTGCCACCCATGCACGGAGGGCGCACGGCAGACGCACGGCCGTGACTGACCCTACGCACGGCGTGCATGGGCAGTGCACATGGCGTGCGTGGGCAAAAATCAGACTAATTTCGCCCAGTTTGGTTGACCAAAAAATGTTGACTTTGCAAAATAATTTGGGACGGAGGGAGTATGTATTTACTCATTTAGTCATTGTATTAAAAGGATTAACGTTTGGCACATTTGGCTTATCAACGTTCAAGTATAAGACCGTTGTATTTAAGATGTAGTCCGTTAAAATATTTTTCAAGGAAGAACTACCAAATAAGTCCTCGAATTTTCATAAAAAATGCAAATAAGCACTTTTATAGGAAGCTTTGTCCGGCCGTCGCCATTTGGGGCGGTTTCCGGTGAAATTTTTCAATAAAATGTTTTGAGCATCTTCTTCATTAAGTCTACTTTACTCATAACAAATTTCAGCTAAAAATTCAATCGGGAAGGCAGTCAAATGAATTTTTGAAGATGACTGCACAGTTAGACAGCGCAGTATGTTTCAGAAATTCATTTGACTATCTTCTCAATTGAATGTTTAGTTGAAATTTGGTATGAGTAAACTAGCCTTAATGAAGAAGATGCTCAAAATATTTCATCAAAAAATTCCACCGGAAACCTCCCCAAATGGCGACAGCCGTATAGAGCCTCATATAAAAAGGCTTATTTGCACTTTTTACGAAAGTTCGAGGGCTTATTTGATAGTTCTCCCTATTTTTCAATTAAAATGGTCCTTTGAAAATGTTTTGCAACCAACGTGTATATGCTCAAAAAATGTATCAAAACATAGAAATAGTAAAATTGATTTAATTATGTTCGGTGTGTATTTCAGCTCAGGTATCCAACCTAAACAACTCACACACACCACCCAGGACTGCAGGGGCGGAGTCAGAGCACTGGGCCGGACTAGGCCGGTACAAAGAATATATTTTGAAAAAGTTTTACACAGAATTTTTTACCCTAAATTCTGGTTGGGCCAGGGCCAGGGGGTGCCCTCCCCTGGCTCCGCCCCTGCAGGACTGTTTAGCCACTCCACTCACCTTGTTCAAGCTCAATTTCTATTACCTCTCAAACTCTCATTCACAAAGAGTTTCTCTCAAAGGAAGAAGAAGACACTAGACACACTCTCTCACACACCTCACTTTCACTTCTCCGCACTGCACTCTTCTCATACAAGGTGTGACACTCCAAAAATTTAAATAAAATAAAATAATTAATTAGATAATTTTAACATATGATAAAAGTGACATTTTAAAGTGGTAATTTTGCTAATCGAATAAAAACTTTAACTTTAATAATAAAAGTGAAATTTTAACAATTTTAATCCACAAAAAAAAGGTCGGGCTATAATAATAAGATCGAAAAGTTGATTTTTTTAACAAATGAAAAATAATATATACAACATAACACATTAATATTTATAATAAAGGCTTTCGAAACGGAAGAAGTCACTCAGACTACTATAATAGGCTAGAATGCAGGAACATGCTTTACTAAAGAGTAGAATAAATAATAATATTGTTAATCAGGTAAAGTTTTAGTGACATTTTTATTAAATGACATTCTAAAAAGTATCCGTTAATAACACATGATGGAGTATATGGGTCTGAGCCCCCGGACCCACATACTCAGAAGAACAGAAAGCACAAGACACTGAGTGGCGCCCTCGTCGGCCAAGGGACCCCCGTCGGCCGAAAAGGTGCCAACTCAGATTATGGTCCTGAGCCCAAGGAACCCGGGTGCCCTCGTCGGCCGTGCCCTCGTCGGCCATGTCCTCGTCGGCCACGAAGACCTCACAGAACCGGATTTTACACTTACTCATTTGTACAGCCCATTAGTAGCTTTGTATTCGGCCCACTAGCGGTCCAGTTGTAAATGGGCCTCCCAAGCCCAAGGCTTGAGAGCCCAGCCCGTATTTTCTCTATAAATACTCCCCTTGGGAGTAGTTATAGGGGTTACAAATTCATTCTATTGAAGCATATTATTGCACTTCTCTCTCTAGCTCTCACTTCTTTCTAGATATACTCTATCAACACACTTAATACCTCACATAAACAGTGTAAAACTTGACTTTTCAAACTTAATAATAATAATAATAATAATAATAATAATAATAATAATAAATGCAGATGTACCATTACACTAATACGTATGATTAGTAGTCCTGCTTAAATTTATACGTACTATATACGTATGACTAGTAGTATAATAATAATAATAATATAAAATATGCACCTACACTAAACTGATGATGCGTTACATAATAAAACTAGTATAGTACCCGTGCATACGCACGGGAAAAAGCAGTTGGTGCATATATTTATACTCATGATCTAATTAGAAATTAATAT